TATATATATATATATATATATATATATATATATATATATAAAGCTGCTTACCATCAAAGTTGGGTCGGATCAGAATCCAAAGCACAATGACGACAGAGATTAAACCACTATGCGACCACCACCACTCGGTCACCTACCTGTCTCAATGAATTCCTTTCTTTCACTCTGACATTGGTTCGAACACTCCAAACTTCCCTTCACTCGTTCGTCCAAATGGAAAGCCATGAGGAACCAACCGAAACTGGAGCACGAAAGTGCATGGTTAATCGTTGTAAAAACTGAAACCGCTTTGACCATTTGGGTTCACTTTCTTTTTCGCTCCATGAATGTAGGCCCAATCCCTGTCCATCTCATATTTCCTAATTTTGAATGAACTACGAGTTTAGCAGCGAGCGGTTAGGTTCGTTTAGTTGCATTTCGTTACAGGATGACGATGAAATTTGCAATCGCTTGATTGTTTATTCAATCAAAGTCGCGCGATGCGGTGACATTTTTATGAAATCCTCCACCCGTGACACAACAAACAGCAGCAAACGCCGGACTTTCGCACTTTACAAAGACCTTCAAAAACAGTCCCACATCTTAATTTTATGGTTTGGATATCAAACGCTTGAATTCTTCTTGATGGGGTTTGAATGGAGTGCTCTGAAGGCAAATGAGTGATATACTGCATTGTTATTATAATATAACACATATGACAGAACGCCGACACCACGGAGGCAACCGATTTCGCAGTATGGCAGATTCCATCAATTGTACCAGTTAGTATGTTGGTGCGCGGTCACCCACCTAGGTAGAAACGAGCGGCAGATTAAGAGTATCCCATCATGTTTCCGTGCTACTAAACTGCTGAACGAGTCATACCGGATTGATCAAGGTCAAGGGACATCACAAAGCCGCACAAAAGCGTTATCGGATGCTCGTCACGTGTTGAAAACTGGACATCAAGTGAAAGTTACCACTCGGTAGTCTAAGATTGAAGAGGTGGTTACTATCAACCTAACCTTAACAAGTAATTACTTTGTAACTCCAACTTTGCGTTGGTAGAAAACCTGACAACTAAAACAGCAACACCTCATCAACAGCAACTATAACCTCTTGATTTTCTATATTTATCAACTTCAGTATGCACCTGAGGAGATTCGGCGAAATTTTCCCCGAAATAAACAGTGTACCGCTGTGATACTACGTTCTGTCTCCAAGTTCATGTCGCGAAGAGAATGTTTTGATTTTGCTGTGGCCGATACCAGATTCAGAAAACGTAGTTGCTTACAGGCAGTTGCAGATAAGACAATCCACTACATTTATAAACATGTAAAGCGGAACAATCAAACCAAATGGGTGTAATACTCACCGCCATAGATGGCAAAAGACTGGTCGTAGAAAAATTTTTGCTTTAGCAAATCTTCTAGTTTTCCACGATCAAAATCGGGAGCCATTGGTATCAGCTCGGCCTCCTTTATTCATTCAACAAAATTTGTTTACTTCAGAATTACCTTCTCTTCCAAAAGCTTTTTACGAGCCTTCAGTTCCGCTAGGGCAACTTTCAATTCAGATTCTGGGGCATTTCGGTTTTTAAGGGCCCTTACGATATCCCCCTAGAGAGAATAGATGTCGGAACTTTAGATAACTTACNTCTTATTTTCTGCGCGCAGTTTGGTAGTCCGCCACATTTGTTCGCTTACCGTTACTCGTCGCTTCTGGAGCCATGCCCCGCGGTACAAGCAGATATAGTGTTTTTCGCAAACTGCGTGTATTGTCAAATAGACCATATCCAACCCTGACGCTTGAAGAACCTGATAATGGAAACGAGTTATTCCAATGACGAAAGTTCGGAAAAATGTAATTTTAACGATTTAATAGTTTTAGGCAACTCCATTTTTAAGGGTGAAGAAATGAATTGTGACAGTAATCTAAATGAAATACCATCAGCATCTGCTCACGAGAGTGAACATACAACAAGTAAATTTGCCAATCATCGCAACCTACACGGGAAGATATTCAACATGAAAGGTAGGTAAAATTACCAGTTATTTCTAAAATTGATGCAGAACACTGCACTTCGATCGCACAATACCGCTATTCCTGCAACGCTAATATGATCTTGGTTTGGTCCGTAATTGAATACCATTTATTATTTTGGTTTGTCTAAATTTACAATTGAAAAGTTGGATGGATTAGAACAAACCGTCCAGAGAGCGAAGCGGATCATCAAAGAACTCCGCGCCTCGGTGCATGCGACACTGAAGACGAAACTTTCGCCTGTAAGTGTTCGGCTTCCCATCGACAGCGAGAAAGACTTCGATGCGCTGTCAGACGAGATGAAAAACAAAGACGTTTACGATAAATTCGTAATTTTCTGTGCAATTTTGTGGCCACGCACTTGTCGAATAATGTAATTTACTGTGGATGTCACTGTTACAGGTGGATTATCTCGTCGCTAGTGGGGTGACACAATGTGGGAGGTGATACGTCTACTGGTCAGACGCGTATTAACCTCGCAGTCAAGTTAAAAATTTTATTGGAATGATATCCGTAAAAAACTTCAGAATTACCTTCTCTTCCAAAAGCTTTTTACGAGCCTTCAGTTCCGCTAGGGCAACTTTCAATTCAGATTCTGGGGCATTTCGGTTTTTAAGGGCCCTTACGATATCCCCCTAGAGAGAATAGATGTCGGAACTTTAGATAACTTACCTGCTCCTGGACACGAGAACGCATGGAGGCCAGAAGGGCATCATGATCTTTGATTTCAACCATTTTTCTACGACTAAAACTACGGACTGGGATATTTGGGTGGAAGGAGCTGAATCTCAGCTGTTTCAATGAAGCTGACCAACTTCGTAGCAGAACAACAGAAATTCCGATGTGGTGGCCAAGGTTCCCAGTAGGCGCTAATTTCATCAACACGTTACTGTACCGTTGACCTCCACGGCCCAGTGAAACGAAGAAGTAAATTGGTAATCGCAGGTTAGTTCCATTAAATGGCAGGTCGCTGGCAAATAAAAACCTTGACTGGTGAATCAAACTCTACTCATATCATGTGGCGCGTTGTTTAAATAATCTACCTTTTCCGTGTTCCGAAATTCAGTCCATTTCAGTTCAATTGGCGCAGAACGGAAAATGTTCACGGTCGATCGAGCGTCCAGAATTCCTTCAGTGGTATGCGGTCAAGTATGGCACTCACCACTGCGAAAAGTAGTCAGTAACTTCTTGGCTGAAAAGGGGGAGAAAAAGGAAAGATACCTCATCTCACCTCGGAAAAGAAAGACTGTTATTCGTGAGCGTTCATCTTCCAGGCTAAATTTAAATAAATGGCAGGACGAAACAAAAAACATGCAACCGGAGTGTGCCGCTCCTACTACTGGTTTTCTTAAGCCGCTACCCTGCCAACACACCAGAGCGTTTTTCGCTCTATTACTGCTCCGCCTTCGCTTTATTTCAAAGCTCATCTTTTCCCCATTTCATTTGTGCATATTTATATGGTAAATTATTATTTTCTCATATTGGTACATTCTCTTCTTCAAATTTTACTTTATATACAAAAATCCTCCTTTTGTTTTAATTGACTCTTATTTTCTGCGCGCAGTTTGGTAGTCCGCCACATTTGTTCGCTTACCGTTACTCGTCGCTTCTGGAGCCATGCCCCGCGGTACAAGCAGATATAGTGTTTTTCGCAAACTGCGTGTATTGTCAAATAGACCATATCCAACCCTGACGCTTGAAGAACCTGATAATGGAAACGAGTTATTCCAATGACGAAAGTTCGGAAAAATGTAATTTTAACGATTTAATAGTTTTAGGCAACTCCATTTTTAAGGGTGAAGAAATGAATTGTGACAGTAATCTAAATGAAATACCATCAGCATCTGCTCACGAGAGTGAACATACAACAAGTAAATTTGCCAATCATCGCAACCTACACGGGAAGATATTCAACATGAAAGGTAGGTAAAATTACCAGTTATTTCTAAAATTGATGCAGAACACTGCACTTCGATCGCACAATACCGCTATTCCTGCAACGCTAATATGATCTTGGTTTGGTCCGTAATTGAATACCATTTATTATTTTGGTTTGTCTAAATTTACAATTGAAAAGTTGGATGGATTAGAACAAACCGTCCAGAGAGCGAAGCGGATCATCAAAGAACTCCGCGCCTCGGTGCATGCGACACTGAAGACGAAACTTTCGCCTGTAAGTGTTCGGCTTCCCATCGACAGCGAGAAAGACTTCGATGCGCTGTCAGACGAGATGAAAAACAAAGACGTTTACGATAAATTCGTAATTTTCTGTGCAATTTTGTGGCCACGCACTTGTCGAATAATGTAATTTACTGTGGATGTCACTGTTACAGGTGGATTATCTCGTCGCTAGTGGGGTGACACAATGTGGGAGGTGATACGTCTACTGGTCAGACGCGTATTAACCTCGCAGTCAAGTTAAAAATTTTACTGGAATGATATTCGTAAAAAACGTGCAAAGACATCATCACGTGTAACACAAGATATGATGGGTAAGTGGAAGTGCTAATGAAGTTTGTTATCATCTCGTAAAAATTTATTCTTTTAGTGATAAAAAAGAACGACATGCGCTGCACCAACGTACGTTGTCGCTTGTTACCGCGAATTAGCTTTTTCATCTAAATAAGGACAAATAGCCTATTTTTGTACGTAGGACATAGTAAGATGTCAGCCACAATTAGTTTGCCATCTAAAACTCGCCGCACTCGGCTACCAAAAGCTAGACCATTTCTTTCTGTTCCTTGCTCTGTATCCATGTCTGACATATTCTTAGAAACAAGTGAGAAGTGCAGAAAGATTGAAAGTGACCTGGAGTGCCTATCTTGCAAAATGACTTCTCTCGACAAACTGGTAGCTTCACTTACCCCTCTCTACCGGTTCTTTAACCCCTCAATCCCGAATACTGAAGAAAGTTTGCTACACGTAGGAAACTTCATAGATTCAATTTCCACAGAGGTCACACGTCGCATTCAAAATGCACGAAATGCAGTCGTATCAAATGTACCGGATAGACTCCCGCTGGATTCGGTAAAATCTACCATCCTGTCGGCTTGTAACATGCTCTCGGTGCAATGCCGATGCATTCGGCTGCGTAAGCGGTCCCAGAGAACGACATGCCCGTTGCTATTCAGCTTCCGCGATCCATCCTATACACAAGGGTTCATCGGATGTCAGGCACGATTACAGTCAACACTCAATTCAAAAACGTTCGGGTAGCCCCCGATAAAACGCCTCTACAAAGAGAGATGTTGCGAAGTGCACTCAAAAACCCACACCCAGAAACCCGGCAATTCCAAATTCACCCTTTCGGGAATCACGTAACACCACTCCTGCAGTCACCACAGTCAGTAGCCAAATCATTAGCAAATGTAGACCTGGAAACTTGTCTTCTGGTGGAAGTCACTCATCCCACCGGGAATTGGCTTCTACATTGAGAACTCATCATGAAAGCCCCGTACACCAGCAAATTAGGAAGGATCTAGTTTATACTCCCCTGAACTCAACCCCCCGCCCAGCCTCAATGGTAAAAACCCCTCCGAAAACGCCTCTCAAATATATTCTGGGTTGCCCCCCTAGAAACAAACCCCGACTGCCGCTTTAAGGCCCTATCCCCAACCCGTACACTTAGCACGACAATCCCGCTTTCAGTTCCCTCGTAGACCACCATCTGCAGGACAAACACTGTTTCCTTCTTGCATCCAGCCCCCAAGCCCCAACGTCGCACGCTCTCTCACGTACAATAACATACAGCCAACATTTCACTCCGTCCCACCACCCATACCTACATGTCCCCCTGTTCAACCCAC